CCGCGGGCTCAGGCAATCCACTCCCCTCAGCCTCCCAAAGGCGCAGGATTACAGGCTGAGCCACCGAGCCCGGCTAGGAAAAGCATTTTCAACATACATAGTGGATAAAGGGTTAATAGTCCTGTCTGTAAAATTCTCTTAACAATCTCTAGAGGCCGGGAGTGGTGGCTCAAGCCAATAATCTTTGGGAGGCTGAGGTGAGAGGATTACTCCAGAGCAGCCTGGGCAACTTGGCAAGACCTCATCTCTACAACAAATTAAAAAAAAAAAATTAGCCAGGCACGATGGCCCACGCCTGTAGTTCCAGCTACTTGAAAGGCTGAGGTGGAAGGATCACCTGAGCCCAGCAGGTTGAGGTTGCGGTGGCCTTGAGTGTGCCACTGCACACCAGCCTGGGCGACAGAGTGACTCTGACTCAAAAAAAAAAACAAAAAACAAATCTCTGGTCCCTTTCCCTGGTTTATTATTTTTTTCCTCCATAGCATTCATCACTGTCAGACAGACTACACTAAAATGTACCTAGTTTGTTTGCATCTGTCTCCCCACTAGGACATAAGCTTCATGAAAGCAGGGGTTTCTGTCTTGGATACCTAGTACCCGGAAAAGTACTGGGTTCGAAACCAGTCTGGGCAAATTAGCAAGACCTCATCTCTACAGTAAATTGAAAAAAAAAATTATCTGGGTGTGGTGCTGCATGCCTGTAGTTCTGCTACTTGGAAGGCTGAGGCAGAAGGATCACCTGAGCACAGCAGGTTGAGGCTGCGGTGGTCAGGAGCATGCCACTGTATTCCAACCTGGGTAAAGAGTGAGAGTCCAACTCAAAAAACAAACAAAAAAACAATCTGTAGGAAAAACATCAAGAGGAAAGTCAATCAGATAAAGGTCATAAATGGACAACTCATAAAATAAGAAATTCAGATATCCAGTTAAGGTGAAAAATCTTGCGATGTCACTAACACCAGGCACAGTATCTCACGCCTGCAATCCCAGCCCTTTGTGGGGGGCGGAGGAGAGAGGATTGCAACATGATGAGACCTCATCTCTACAGTAAATCAAAAAATGAGCCAGGCATGGTGACGCATGCCTGTAGTTCCAGCTACTTGGAAGGCTGAGGCGGAAGGATCGCCTGAGCCCAGTAGGTCGAGGCTGCGGTGGCTGTGAGCATGCCACCGCACTTCAGCCTGCGTGACAGAGTGAGACTTAAAAAAAAAAAAAAAAAAAAGAGCGTGGGTGGTGAAAAGGGCTAAATCATGGCCCCCGGGGGTATGTTCATGTCCTCCTGCTGGAACCTACGGATATTACCTTATGTGGCAAAGACTTTGCAGTTGTGATTAAGTTAAGGATTTTGAGATGGAGAGATTACTCTGGATGACAAGGACGGGCTCTAAATGCCATCATAAGCATCTCTATGAGAGGGAGCCAGAAGGATTATTTCACACACATTCAGAGGAGGAGATGGCAACTCAAATATGGAAGTGGAGGTTGCCATGGCGCAGCCACAAGCCAAGGAATGCTGGTGACCACCAGAAGCTGAAAGAGGCAAGGAACCGGTTCCGCCTTAAAGTCTCCAGAGCAAACATGATTCTGCTAATGCCTTAGTTTTAGCCCCTTGAAACTGATTTCAGACCTCAGCCTCCAGAACTATGAGAGGATACATTTCTGTTATTTTAAGATACTAAATTTGTCAGGTGCAGTGGCTCACGCCTGTAATCCCAGCACATTGGGAGGCGGAGGCGGGAGGATTGCCTATGCCCAGGGCTCAGACTAGCCTGGGCAACATGGCACAACCTCACCTCTACAATAAATAAATAAAAAACTAGCTGGGTGTGGTGGTGCACGCCAGTAGTTCCAGCTACTTGGAAGACTGAAGTGGAAGGATCGCTTGAGGCCAGCAGGTCAAGGCTGCGGTGGCCGGGAGCGTGCCCCTGTACTCCAGCCTGGGCGATAGCATAAGACTCCAACTAAAAAAATAAATAAATAAAAATAAAACATTTATAGTTATTTGTAACAGCAGTCATAGTAATATACTAAGGTGGGGATTATCTCCAGATGGGTTCCACAGTGGACGGATGGGGTGATGACCTGGCCTTTCCTCTGGTAGCCTGTAAATGTCTGTAGATCTTTTCTCTGGTGCCCATCAGCTGCTTCAAAATGACTCGTCAGCCTCCTGCCTGGAGTGTAGGCCAGTGGCCAGTGTTCTGGGAGCTAAGCGGGGGAAGGATCCCACAGTGCGTAGACATTCATTTCATTTCCATTTTCAGTAAAGGCTGTGTCCTGACAGTGCTTGGAGGCCCCTGAGTCCAGGTCCCTGGTACAGTGTCCACAAAATGACCCCCCCCAGTCTCCTGGAGGGATGTGGGAAGGAGAGTTGCCTGACAGTTGAGGTGAGGCAGGGACCTGGGACGAAGATGTTCAACCAGACCTCCTGCTTTCAGATCCCCCTGCCACTCTCCCATCACAGGTGCCCGATGCCTTCATTTCCCCAGCTTTTTTTTTTTGAGTTGGAGTCTCACTCTGTCGCCCAGACTGGAGTGCAGTGACACACACCTGGCCACCGCAGCCTCGATCTGCTGGGCTCCAGCGATCCTTCCGCCTCAGCCTTCCAAGTAGCTGGAACTACAGGCGCCTGCTACCACGTCCAGCTAATTTTTGATTTATTGTAGAGACGAGTTCTTGCCA